CCGGGCCATTTTAATTGTCGGCCCTGCCCCCCCCCCCCCCCACCCCCCTCGCGCCAGCCTTGCCACCCCCGCCGAACAAATGGCGGAGGGCGGGTGGGGGGGGGGGGGGCGTGTATCGACGCCTTGTCAGAACCTGCCTTGGTCAGGGATGGAGGGGGGGCTTTTTCTCGCTGCCCCGCCCTGGTCATGGCCTCGGGCCGACCACGCCTCCTCCCCTCTCCCCCCCTTGGTTGTTGCATGTCCCGGCTTGCTGGTCCCCATCCCTGCCCCAGCTTCCCTCCGCCTTCCACGCGCCCACACGTGCACCCACACATACACCCACTCCCACCTCTCCCCGTTCCTGTCCTCGCCCTCGCCCTCGCCCTCGCCCTCGTCTTCCCCAAGAGACAGGAGAAGAGAGAGCATACGCGCGATGCTGCCTTACGATCCGAAATCGGCCGGGACTGACACCTCTGCCTCGTGTGCGTTCATGCTCCTGCCCGGTGCCTGTCAGCTGCATTCATCTCCCGGCATGCCCTCTCTGACATCCTGGCCCTGACACTCCCCCCTCTCTTTTGCCCCCTGGCACCCCCGCCTCTCCGCCATTGCTTCCCATGACAGCAGCGGGCTCCTCCATGTCGGCTGCATCGACTTTGCACCGAATGCCGGGCAGCGGGCACTTCCCCAACACTCCGGGCCCCGGGACAGTGTCAGCTGCCGGGATGACCACCCCCGGCCTCGGGGCTTCCTTCGGGATCCCGCTGTCCAGCGGTCCTGGCTCGGGGTTCCCCTCGGCGACCGGCACTCCGGCCTCGCTGGGGTCCGGTTTCGCTCCCTCGCCCGCGACCGGGCACTTTCACCCCGGGCAAACGCCGATGGGCGGCCCGGCCCAGCCTGGGGCCTTCACTCCAGGCCCCGCTGGGGCTTCGCCCTTCCATGGGCTGCCGCTGGGTGGTGGTAGTATTGGTGGTGGTGGTGGCGGCGGCGGCGGCGGCAGCGGTGGCGGGCACGACTCGCATGGGCACAGCCACGGCGGCCACGGCCACAGCCATGGCGGCCACGGCCACAGCCACGGCGGCCACGGGCACCACGACATGCATTCGCCGCCCGGACACTACCCCGAGGCTGGGGCCCTCTTCGGGAGCGCTCCGCCGCCTCGAGGCAAGACCGTGAATGTCCTGTACCCGGAGTCCTCCCGGGGGTTGGCCCAGAGGGCCATGTACCAAGCGCGAGTCTTCCTGCGGTCCATCCTCTCGGATCGCCGCACGCGCAACGTTTTCTTCTTCCTCCTGCTGAACCTGTCTTTCATGGTGGTGGAAATCCTGTACGGCATTTGGTCCAACAGCCTGGGCCTCATTGGAGATGGCTTGCACATGCTCTTCGACTCGTCGGCCCTCATTGGCAGTCTGATTGCCAGTGTCATTGCCAAGTGGCCGGTCAATGACCGCCTGACCTATGGATATGGCCGTGTGGAGACCCTGTGCGGCTTCGTCAATGCCCTGCTGCTGACCTATGCCTCGGGAAATATCCTCTTTGAGGCCATCGGCCGGCTCATCTCCCCGGAGGTGGTGGATACGGAGCGTCTGCTGACTGTGGCCGTTCTCGGGCTCATTGTCAACCTGGTGGGCATCTTTGCCTTCGAGCATGGTGGCCATGGACACTCGCATGGTGGTGGTGGCGGTGGCCACGGGCACTCGCACGGCGGCCATGGGCACTCGCACGGCGGCCACGATGAGTGCGTCGTTGGGGGGCCTCTTTGTTTCCATTCCACCCTTCCTTTCTTTTTCTTCCCTCGCTCTGCCCCGGTCCCTCTTCCCCCCTGCCTCCACTTTCCCTGCTTTCTGACATCCACCCTGCCATGTGTGTTGATGCCACCTCTGTGCAGCCCCCACTCCAACCCCCTGCTCCAGGGCATGTTCCTGCACATCTTGGCAGACACCCTCGGCTCGGTCGGTGCGTTGCTCGGATGTCCATCCCTGCCCCCCCCCCGCCTCTCCCCTCTCCCCCCACCCCCCACCCCCGCCCCCCCCCCCCCCCCCCCCCCCCCCCCCCCCCCCCCGCCCGCCCCGCCCTCCGCACGTGGGTGTCATCTAGCACTGACTTGGCCTCGGGGCTCCCTGCTCCTTCGACTTCCTCCGAATGCATCCCACGCACAGGTGTCATCGCCTCGGCCATCCTCATCAAGCTTTTCGACTGGCAGATGGCCGATCCGATCTGCTCGATCTTCATTTCGGTGATGATTTTCGTCACGGTGGTTCCACTGCTGAAGTCCTCGGCCGCGGTGCTGATGCAGTCCACACCCGAGCTCCCTGGCGGTGCCACCAGCAAGACCGTGGCCGCGGCCCTGCGTGCCATCCCCGGGGTTGACAGTGTCGAGAGCCTGCACATCTGGGAACTCGCATCGCATGTGACCGTGGCCACGACCTCCCTGCGCCTGACTGGTGGGGAGAGTTCGGAGCGCGTGCGCCTCGATGCGGTGGAGGTCCTCCGTCGGCAGGCCGGCGCCAAGAAGACCACCGTAGAGCTGGTTACTGGCGGCGGGCTGGTGGCCGGGACGGAGCACGGCAGCCACTCGCACTCGCACTCGCACTCGCACCAGGTTGACCCGCATCAGGCCGGCACTCGGGGCTCCGCGCCGGCCTATAACTTTGTGGCCCTGCCCATGTCATCGCACCAGTAGGGGGTGGTGTTTGCCCCTCGATTTTCGATCGCTCCCCCCTCCAGGAGACAGCCTTTCGGAGGAAGCCCCTTTGAATATGCACGCTACACTATAGCCCCCTCACTCGTTCTCTTTCTCCCTCTCTCGCGCGTGCCCGGTATCTTCCTCTCGCCGTGCACCTTTCGGGTCTGTCCCATCCTGAGCCACCGATCCAGGGCTGCACGCCCCATGCACACGGGAAGATATGCGTATTTGGATTATTTTCTGCCTCTCAAGAGAACAAGGGGGAGAGCGCCCCGGAGAGGAGGGGAGAAAGGGGAGGGGGAGGGGGGGGGGGGGATTGAAGCGCAGTGCACATGAACACAAGGGAGGAGGGAAAGGGGAGGGGACCTCATCAGGGAGGCAGCAGTGCCCGATCCAGGAAGAGGACAAAGGCCGGGGAGGGGGAGAGAGAGAGTCCCAAAGGACACCCTCAGGTCTGAGAGCTAGGTGGTGTGGTCATGGTGGGTGTAGAATGATCAGGCCCCTAGCAGCAGCCAGAGCTCTCCTCCGCCTGGCTGTCACCACCCGTGGATGAGTCCAAACTGGGGCTGCTGTTGAGGTTGATGGTGTTCGCTCCGGGGATCTTGGCCGTCAGCTGGCCGCCCTCGTGCTTGTCTAGTTCCTTGGCGACAGCCAAGATGCTGTCCAGCAGGAAGTCCATGGCTTCGTCTGCAGACCCGACAGAAGGGGCAAAAAAAGTCAGCATCCAATGGTGGGAAGTCGGCGCGTGGGAGGAGTACCAATGGGACAGGGGGGGGGGGGGG